CTCCTGAGGAAAATTTTCCGTCGTATCATACCGAAATTTATGTTTGTGACCTAATTTTTAAAAAAAATTTGTAAATTTCCACACAAAAACGGCACCTATTGTTTTAATTTAGTATTTACAGCGACATTAGCTTCTACAAAAGGGTCACTTTTCCTCACAAAAAAGGGCACTTTTCAACACAAAAATGGCACTTTTTATCACAAAAAAGGGCACTTTTAGTCCTTTAAAAAAATTTGGGGGGGCACGTGCCCCCCGTGCCCCCCGCTTCCTACGCCCCTGTTAACATCACAAATATCTTTGCATGTACGATATAAGAGTTTTAACATTTTTTGAGCCTTACTTATAATAAAATCAACATGATCATTCCAGCTCAAATCCTGTCTAATCAAAACAGCAAGATCCTTTTCAACACTCACTCGTTCTAACTTTATTCCTCCAAGGTGATAGTCTCTCTCAGAGACAGATTTAATCCGAGCAACCCTAAGGACCTTACATTTACTAGTATTAAACTCCATTCCCCAGGTGTATGACCACGTCAATAATTTATTTAAATCATCTTGTAATTCATCCCCATCCTTCTGACCTAGTATTAGGCGAAAACACTTTGAATCATCAGCAAAGAGTGGTAAAGACGTGTCCTTTGATATTACATTAGGCATATCGTTAATAAAGATTAAGAAGAGTAGGGAGCCTAGGATTGACCCCTGGGGAACCCCAGTCCCCAGACGTTACAGGAAGAAAGTTAGATGAAATATTGTTAATCACAACTCTTTGCCTTCTATTAGTTAAGTAGGACCTGAACCAACCCAGTAAAGATCCCCTTATACCAAGACATTCCAATTTAAATAGTAGCTTACAATGAGAAACTTTGCCGAATGCCTTGGGAAAATCGAGATATATTACATCTACTTGTTGCCTCTTCTCAAGAGCCTTACCAAACTGATGAACTACTTGAGATAGTTGCGATACAGTTGACTTACCAGTTAAGAAACCATGTTGCCATTGAGAAAAATGTGGGGAAATAATATTAAATACACCATCATACACCTGCCTTTCCAGTGGTTTGGATAAGACGTCAAGAAGAGATGTATCTCTGTAATTAGGAACTATCGCTTTAGACTTGGTCTTATGGATTGGAACTATATTGGCATCTTTCCATTTTTCGGGGAAAGATCCAAGCTCAAGAGACATATTGAACAGCTTACTCAATGATGGCGCAATCTCTTCCGCACATGCATGCAACAACTTCGAGGGAACTCCAAGCGAGGCGAGGTGATATTTAAGGATTTAAGCTGCCTCTCCACCGAATCAGTACTTATTCTCAACATAGATATTTCCTCAGCAGAATTGTAACCAAGATTAGTTACAGGTAAAGTATTAGGAATATCCGATGCTGAAAAAACTGAATGAAAAAATACGTTAAACAAGTTAGCCTTATCTATCAAATTACGAGCTTCAATTGAACCATGCCTAATGACACTAGGATTCTACAAGACTTGGTAATTGCTTTATGATACGACCAAAATCTACGAGGATTATCCCCGAGTGAATTACTAAGACTACTTAAGTAAGAAGGGACCATCACGGGGGGGGGGGAGACAACATAGTTTAATGGAGGGGCCAAAACAGGGGCTTGGGGGGGGGGCAAGTCCCCCAAGTCGATGGTATTAAAAGAGGCCCTGTTTCAAGTTTTAATTTTATACATACAGTATTTAGACATAACAAGGAGCAGCTGCGAGAACTCCAGCCAGAGCGCCTATAGTTTCCTATAGTTGCATTTTTCACAGCTGTTCCTATAATACTTCCTATTTAGGTCTAAATATGAGAGGTGTCCAATCTGTTTCACACAGATTTGTTAACTGAGAAAATTTGTGTGTCGAGAAACTGTCCGTAATAGAGATGTGTTCGTAAGACTGTCGAATCGATTTATTGCACATATACTATTTAAAAAACGTATATATACCTGCCTTACCTGGTCTGGAAATATTTGCTGCACAAGTTTCTTAAGATCTTCATCAAGTGGTATATGTAGAATCGATACAACCTATATTTATATGTATATTCACAACAATCAGCGACATAAGTACTATTTAAAACACGATCAAGCAGGAGTGCTTTATCAGATATAAATTAGATACGAGGCGAAGCCGAGTAACTTTAGGTCTGATAAAACACGCACTGCGAGTGTTTTAAATTGCATCAAAACGCTTTATTTAGACACACATCCTGTAATTCGTATCCTACCCGTGTCGGGTTTGAGTATATGTAATAGTAATTGCTCAAACTTTAATATCGCTACCAATGATTATTTAAGCAATTCAGTTACTGCTGACTTCTTTTGTCCTTAAAAATTGTTTTCCATTTTGTGCATCCAAATAAAACATTTAGAAATTAATTTAATCCTCATATAAATTGTTGCGGCTCTGGAACAACAAAATGGGAGGTTTTTAAAGACGCAGAGCTAGTGCACTAGTCACTTGAAACCCACCCACCCCCAAACTTTGGCTCCTCCGGGCCAAATTTCCTAGGAAATTTGGCCCCCCTCGAAAACATAGTTTACTTTATCGCTATAAGCTCGAAAATCGTGAAGCTTCTTCTAAAACCAAGATCCTAAAAGTGTTTGTCAGTATTTATAGTTGGTTTGCATAATTTATTTGTGTCGAAATTCTTCATTGCGGCCAAGAACTAAAAATTTGAAGGAAAGCGTAATAATAATGTGCTAGTGCTGCAGTCATGATCTGTTGAGGACAACGTTAGTGCATAATGGCTTAGCTTTAAGCTAAGGACACGAAACGATTTTTAGAGATAGGAATTTTTAAGATATTACAAGTTATTTAGATCTACAAAATTCAGTCACATAGAAAAATTAGTCAGAATAACAACTATATAAAATTAGTCAGAATAACAACTGCACTTTAGCAAACGATGACATCATGCGTTGGCGAATATGTTAATATCGCGCGTCTAATAAGTAACAGGGAGTAATTAGCAAAAGGGTAAAAGTAGACTTTTAAGTGGAAACGTTTGTTCGAAAAACAAAATCAAATGAGTGGTTATTTTGTAAAAAAAACTTTTCCTATGCATTTTACTTACATATACACAGTATATATAATCGCTCATATGGTTGGGATGCATTACAGAAGCATTCCGTAAAAACGGAAGTAGACTGTATGCTTCATGGTTCACAAAAAACATTCTGCACACAGAAAAACACAAAGGTTTGAATGGCTAACAAAACATTTCGCAAACACAAAAGCACAAAGGTTTGGATGACTCACAAAAACATTCCGCAAACACGCAGAAAAACAAAGGTTACATCCAGCTACATAAAATCCGTCAGTGTTGTAAGCAATTCTCTTGGCCTAATTCTCGTCAGTATTGCAATTCAGTGCAGAATTTTGTTTTGACACAAAAAAATTACGCAAAGTAACTATAAATGTTGAGAAAAAATTCTAGAAATTTGGTTTTAGTAGAAGCTTCACGATTTCCGAGCTAAAAGATAAAGTAAACTATAATTTTTTAGAGGGGGCCAAATTTCCGACTTAGGGGGGCCATATTTCCTAGGAATTATGGCCCGGGGGGGGGAAATTTCCCATGAAATTTGGCCCGGGGGGGATTTTCGGGGGGGGGGGATTTCCTGTGACACCGGCCCCCCGACCCCCGGGACTAAGCGGGGTTTTAACAGCATTTAGCAGGGGAAATACACAGCATGAGCTGCACCTTTGAATTTGGGTACTGTATATGAGTAAATTCTTAAACACGTCCGAATTTATCATCATGATAAATTCGCGGCACATTTTGAATTTATCATAATAATAAATTCGCGGCACCTAACACTAACCCCAACCCCAACCACTAACCCCTAACCACTAACCCCTAACCACTAACCCCTAACCCTAACTTTTTTAACTTTTTAAATTTTTTAAACTTTTTAAATTTTTTTAACTTTTTTAACTTTTTTAAAAATCTAACTTTTTAAACTTTTTTGCTATTTAAAACTCTTTTAAAACTTTTTTAAGAATTTACTCATATAGTAAATTCAAAGGTGGAGCTCATGTTGGAAATACATGCAGTACCGCTCGCGTATATCTTAACACTTTTTTGCGTATCATACGCGTATCATATGCGATCATACGCCGATACGTGTAGCGTATCATATGAATACGCGTATCGACTACGTTGTTGTAAATACGAATTCCTGAAATCTGTTTAAAGTAAAGTTAAAGGGTTCGAAATAAAGCGTATCACGGACTGTCGTGTCAGCTTTAGCCCGCGTTTACAGTCCATTTCTTTGATTGTCTATGATTAGTGTCTCTGAATACATTACATCAATGCAACATTGTCACAATACGTTACGATAAGCGAAGTAGTTTTCGAGCGGTCGTAGGGAGTACAGCATTTTCTGACGATTTGTAGTTTTCGAGAAAATTGTCTCAAAATATCAATATTTTTGCCGTTAAAAAATGTCATGCGGAGAAAAAGTAAATAAATAGGGAGTTTTTAATTATTCTTTCAACGCAAGAAAGAAAATATGAAAGCTTCACGTTTCCAGGAATGGAAGGTTCAAACTTTCTTGGCAAAATTTTCGTTGAACGTTTTCGTTTCATATTTTCTTTCTTGCGTTGAAAGAATAATTATGTATTTCAGTTTTAAAACAGCAAGTTCATTTACTCTTTTATATTGCCTGATCCGGCTGATAGGTTTCCAAATTAGTATGCATGCATGCGTGGCATGGTAATTTGATACGCACTGGCGCACGTGGAAAGAGCATGTATTATCTCACAAAACAAATACATATTGTTGAACAGATTGAAAAAGCTGTAAGTTTTGGTCGGAAACGTTACCTCGGGAGGAAGCTGTGTGACCAATACTGAAAAATGATTTTCTTTATTCTCCTTCAGATGTCTTTGACGATATTCAACATAAACTTGCCATTCGGCATACAATAAATAATACACGAGGAAAGAGAATAACCATACACCTATTAAATGTGCCCAAAGTTTGCCTGACTGCTGAGATATGTTGCCTAATGTTAGTATATCCATCCCCACTTGATCATTGCCACCATACACGTTGATAGGAATAAGAACAAGTGCAGCATAGGGCAATGAGAATGCGGCAATGCGGAAACATAGTCTCAAAAATCTCAAGTAGACAAAAGCATCAAAACCAACCAACTCATATAGCTCGTTAGTGTTGATTTTAAAAGCTGGAGTTAGCCAGGCAAAGAACGACGATGATAATGTAAGTTTTCTCAATAACGCGAGTTTAGTCTCTGGGATCTTTTTAGAAACGATTTCCGTCAATAACTTGAAGTTTGGTTGATAAACAAAGTCAAACCGTGAACGTAGGATACAGAATACGACTAGCAGAATGAGAGTGATACCAGTGTTGAATATAAGCGACGTGATAAATGCTGCGATTGACGCCATCTTTATGGTCTCCCTTGCTTTCTTGTCGAATTGTTACTCTGATGAAGACGACATACTTCTGTATTTCGAAAGTGACATCGACGCGGCTATCTTTTGAAGGTTCTGCATTGAAGCGTTTCGCTGACTGAATATGAAATTTGATAGTTTGAAAAATGAATCCTAACTGATAGAATACTAACATCCGGCATAAGTAATATTTCAGCCCACTTCAGTGTCCAATTTTAAACAGATGTTTCATTTTCAGCTAAAAGTATGTATGCCTAACGGTCCAATACTTTTTTAGACACTTGAACTATATGCAGCCATGGTGATATTAGAGGGCTTTGTTATATCATCTGATAAATGAATAACCTGAATAGTTAAAATATTACGCCCCTGCATTAATTAATCCATTTTATTTTATTTTTATTTTAAGTCCATGCCACAGATCCCATACATCATCATGATGCCGCGGCGCCATCATGCATGGTCGTAGGGGCAAGGCCATATTATTCCATACGATATCGGGTATATTATCCTTCGCTTTTTTAGTCGAATAGCTGACCAAGAGTAATACTTTTATTCAACTGGTCATTTTTTCTTCAAAACGTTCTAATTCTTGTGGGTTTGCATGCATGATCTCAGTCACTTTGTACCCACCACTTGCCTTCGTTGATATTGTTATGATCTTCTAATTCCTCTTCAAAGTTGGATGGAGGTAACTATACCTCAGTTCAACTTTGAGAAGACCAAGTTAATGGTAATTGGTATCGTGAGAAAAAAACTATCTCTCTAAGTGTTCGAATTGGTGAGAAAGAGGTAAAGGAAGTTAATCAACTAGAGTATTTGGGAGTTATCCTATTAACATCAAATTTCAAGTGGAGTGAACTTAAACGGACAAAACACCTGCTTCCTCGTAATGCCAGACTGTTATTATATAATTGTCTCGTTCTCTCAACCCTCAACAATGCTGATCTGATACGTGGCGATGAAATGGGAATGATAAGTTTGATAAGTTGATGGCAAAATTGCAGATCATATAGGTGCACAGTTGGAGTGCAGGGAATCGAAGCTGGAATTGACTGATGCATTAGTTTACTCCTGTGTCAACGCAAATTTCAAAGCAATCTTCCCAGCAGCCTGTTTAGAAACATGAAGATAGTTTTCCAAGATTCATGTCTGTATCAATAGAAATTTTATTTTCCAAAGTTTTGAAATAAACAGATGTCTTCTGTCTAAAAGTCCTAAAACAGCGGGTTAAATTTTAACCCACCGTGCAGTGGAACCAGGGACGCCGGAACGATGTGAAGGCAAGGGAGGCAGATTTTCGTGAAAGGGCACTTTTGAATTGATATATAGTAAGAGATGTTTGCAAAACATCGGGAGTTGAATTTCGCCTAATCATGTTTTCTATTTATTGGATGATAGGGGTGTGAGGGGGTTCTCCGCCAGGCGATTGTGCTATTCTTGAAGCTCGATGACTGCATTTCTTGCGTTTTCTGAAGCAAATTCGCAAAAAAAATTGCACTAACATTTGTGACAATTCGCAATTTCGCTTTAAATTGAAAGGGCACCTTTGCCCCCCCTTGCCCCTCCTGGTAAAGGGCAACGGGGGCGGCTGCCCCTCCTGCCCCCCCAGTTCCGGCGTCCCTGAGTGGAACAACCGGCCCCAGACACACTGAATAACGCAATCGACCAGCCATGCTCGATCGATGTATCCAATATGGCGTCGTATCGACTTCAATCTTGCATCTTTTGTTGGTCATTTTTTCGCACTTCTTCAAGAATTTCTGTCCGGCAAGGAGGAATTTACAGAGTATTTTGTCAAAGTACTGTACAGTTTGATTTAACAGCACGACAACATGGTAAATTCCATACATATCTATGTTTGTGTATATTTTAGAAATCAATTTTAGGCATTAATTTGTGAAAGTTCTAATAATATATTTAATATTACACATTGCAGTCGATGGTTTGTGGAATGGTGGACTGATTAAACACATGCACTGTAAACGCATACATACATCTTGTAAGTACTGTATGAACGTTGCTGTATAACGTGTAAAACAATAATAAAATATTAGAATGTCATTTCATGTTTATAATTTGTTTTTAACGTGGTGATGCCCAAATATTAACAAAATGATGTTAAGGAACCATCAACAAGTAGATTTTGTCTTGCTTTGTGGACTTGTTCTGTGAAGAGGGGAGGGGGTAGCTCAGAATCAATGTTTATTTAAATTAAATAATGTAAACACAAGTCCACAAAGTGGGACGAAAATCTATTTGTTGGCTGTGATGGTCATTTCACTCCAAAAATTCCGGACACTTTGTAAAAATCCAGAAAAATCACTATTATAAAAAACTCAGTGAATTTTTGAAAATCCAAAAATCCTGTACTGATACACATTTCTGGAGTGAAATACCTCGGGTTGACCTAACCCATTAATGTGTGCGGGCCTCCCCTTGACTAATCTAAACATCTAGTGTCAGATTGTAATATATAGTAATGTAGTCTGCAAGCCTGAAAATAAATTTCCAATGGTGCCTGACAAAGTGTCAGGTACCAACTGATTGGTGCCTGACACTGGACATTTTGTCCCTGACAAAAATATTAAATGCAATATAGAGCAAATATAGCTTTTCGTGGTCATTCAAATAAAAAGAAGCCAATGAAAAGCTTATAGCAACAACAATTAAGCCACTAGTCAATTGTATCATACAGAATCAAACTATCATAAATTTCATAGCATTTTCACAGGCATAATTGTATTGTCTTAATATTCATACGCGATGAAATTTGGACATATACACATAATATTTAAATGTGTAATGCAAATATGGCACGACTTAATTTGGGACTTTATTAGTCCTGTTGTCTGTGCCTTCAATTTCTTATTGTAAAACTAATAAAAAAAAATAAATAAATAAAAAAAAAACAACTTTAAAACATTATAATGAAATTTTTAATGCCAGTTGTAGAAAGTTTCACCAATAGTTGTATTTAATATTATTATTATATGGCTTTTCAAAATTCTCTATTCTGATTTGTTGACAAGCGGTCCGTAAAAACCCATATCCGGACCGTGGTACGTATTTTCCGCATCTGGACCGGTGTCCCGGATGTCATTTATCTGGTGGGAAATTTTTGCTTTGCAAACAGAAAAAATTTTTGCTTTTTAAATTTCCAATTGCATGTGCTTTACAGATAAAAATTTCAAACAACCAAATTGTTTTTGATTGAGCGTGCATGCCTACTGTAGTGAAACTGACGATAGCCGATTTAATTAATTCGCGCGAAAAGCATATGCCCACAGACTCAGTTCAGCCATATAATAAACCGATTATTGACCTCGCTTGTTCGGTCTGTACTGTGAAATATCAGACCTCTGTTTTTTGCATGGACCTCGCTCCTTCGTTGCTCGGTCCATACTAAAAAAACCTCGGTCTGATATTTCACAGTACAGACCTCACGCTCGGTCAATAAGCCGTTAATACTGTATGCTACTGGACAAACTGTCTGCCAAAAACCCAGTTGTGCCGCCAATTACCTTTTCGTACCAGACAATGTCTGTGACCAGCTGCTTATTTTCAGGCTTGTTTTACATGTCACTATCTTGGAATTAATGTTTTATAAATCTGGAAATACCATCAATAAGGGAAAATATTGGACATTGACATTCGACCGCCTACCTTTAGAAAGAGTAATTAAAATCATAAAAAATGGACCATGATTGGTCATTGCTGTTTATAAATTAACATCAATGTGTATAATAAACAGTATTTAAAAAAAAACTTAGATTCTCTGTGGCAGCACTTTCTTGCTATAGTAACTTCTAGTAACCTGAGTAAGTCTGACTCATATCTGATTTTAGCTAAAATTGATCAAAAAGATTATTACCAAGTCCTTGGGGTTTCAAAATCAGCTTCCCAGAAAGATATTAAGAAAGCTTATTTTGATGTGAGTATATAGTGTAAGAATTATACAAGTTCTTTGTAGGTTTGCATGGCAATAAAGCATAATATTTTGTTTATGGAAACACCACGTAAATTTATTACTGCAAAGCTTTCAATCCGTAAGCCCAGATCTTCAGCATTGCTAATAATATGCATACTAGGGCTTACAGATCAAAAGCTTTGCAGTAATTAATTTATGTGGTGTTTCCACAAACAAAATATTATAAGAATTATACAGTATTTAATAAAGCAATATTTAAAGAGGGGAACAGTCCCTTGAACTGCACATGTTTGTTTAACCCATTGAGTGGCAGCACTCTGGCATTAGACAGAGTAAAATAATAAAGTAGGGTGCATCTGGGCGCATTGCCACTTACCGTACAGGGTTAACAGGGTGCATGGGCAGATAGTCTGATTAACCCATTGAGTGGCAGCACAAAGGTATCTTTTTGTGATTTAAGGGGAAAATAAAAATAAAACTTTACCTAAGTTTAAATCCCGGAGATTTAATAGATCCCGGAGATTTAACTTTACCAGAGTTTTAATCCTGAGATTTAAACTGCATTTTGTGGAATTCCGCGATTTAAACTGAATTCTGTGATTTTTGGACGATTCCGTGAAATCACAGGATTCCAGAATGCCTGATTAAAGTAACAACAGAGCAGCAGATCAAGATATAGTTCTCCTTTGTAATATTAAACTGTGATACGATACATATTACATAATTTTTATCTGGCGTATTGTAAAGAGTACTTGTTTAATTAACTTACAGCTTGCGAAGAAATACCACCCTGATACAAATAAGTCTTCTAGTGCTGCTGCAAAATTCCAAGAAATTAGTGAAGCTTATGAGGTAAGAAGAGACAAACACAATTTACTTGCACCAGTCAAGGTGACTCAGGTCAATGGAACAGTTGTTATTGAGTATGTATGCCAATCAGGCATCGGTAGTTTTGTTATGCAACTACATCCACTTTTTAGGAGTAAATATCAAGGGTCCAATTGTATTGAAATGTAGTTAAAGTGAGAGAATTGTTAGATTATATGATATATTGTGATGATACATTTATAATATTGTTACATGAACTTTTGGCTTAGAATCACGTGACTTTTCCTCTCAATACTTCGAAGATGAACACCGCGTATATAAACTGTTGAACCATGTGATTGTACATATTTTATTTCATATTCGTATTATTAAAACTATAAAAACAACAGGTTATGGGCCCAGGAAAACTCGAAACCATCCTGGAGCAGTGTGTTGGCGAAATAATAATGTTTATGTGGTATTTTATGCGAAAGTTTATTCGATGAAAATATGGCGACGTCATCAGATTTTGCGTTGAAAATTATGAAGTTGAACGGTTCTAACTACCGGAATTGGGCGTTTAACATACGGCTTTACCTGGAAAGTTTGGATTTATACGGACATGTCGATGGATCGGCTGTGAGTCCTGGAGAAGATCCTACTGATGCTGTGAAACAAGCTTTCAGAACTGCTTCGAAGAAAGCATGGACGTACATTTGCTTGGCAATTGAGCCTGAGCAGCAAATACACGTAAGAGACACTACTACTGCAAAAGAAGCCTGGGATGCGCTCAAAAATCAATTTGCACGGGAATCGATTTTACAGAAAATAAGATTGCGACAACAATATTATACCTGTAAATTTCATAGTGGTGGCAACATGTTAGCGCATATAAACAATATGAGATCCCTCCATGACCAACTGAAGGAAATGGGCATCAATGTCGATGATAAAGAATTGGCGATGACTTTACTTGGTAGTCTTCCTGAAGAATTCAAACCTCTGATCACAGCTTTAGATGCTGTTGGAGAAAATAATTTATCATATGAAAAAGTAAAAGGAATGCTTTTGAATGATGTTGACCGAAAATCTGATACGAAAAAGAATGAAGATGCTTTTTCTGCACAGCGTGGTTTTGGTGCTAAAGGAAAAAGATGGTCGCGACATGGTAACACTCAAGGTGGTGATGGAAAGTCAAATTATCAGAAAGGTGATGGGAAATCTGAAAGACCCTTTCATGGTCTTTGTCATTTTTGTCATGAGAGAGGGCATTTTGCAAGAGACTGCCCCAAAAAGAATCCAAAGAATAAGAAGTTTGCTAATGTTGTAAAAGGAGAACAGCAAGAAGATGTTCACGAGGTCACCAATCAAGAAGCTTTATTTACTTCTAATGACGATAGCAATTGTGGTTGGATCATAGATTCAGGTGCCACACAACATATGACATCTGAAAAGAATCGACTGGTCAATTATGTTGAATTTAAGCAACCTTGTAAAGTGAATCTTGGCGATGATCGCACTATTTTTGCATTTGGTAAAGGAACTTATAATCTTGTAGCTGATCTGGGTAACGGACGTACCCAAAACATTGCTCTCAAGGAAGTTCTGTACTTACCTGATCTGAAGAAGAATCTGTTATCTGTCCAAGTAATGGGAAAGTTAGGTGCATTAATTCAATTTGATGGTGTCCAATGCAAGATAGAGAGAAATTCAAAGCTGCTAGCTACTGGTGAGCTGCATGGTAAGCTGTACATGCTGAAGATTATTCCTGGAGTGGAGTATATCAATGTTGCGAGAGAAGCACCAGATAAGAATTTGTGGCATTGTCGATTTGGACATTTAGGAATGAACGGTATTTCTAAATTGATCAATGAAAACATGGCTGAAGGAATGAACTGTTCTGACCATGGTAAAGAATCATCATTATGTGAATCATGCGTGATGGGAAAGCAACACCGCACACCATTCCCAAAAGATACCCGACACCGAGCAAGTGAACTGTTTGAAATCATTCATACAGATGTTTGTGGTCCTATGCATGTAAAATCATTTGGGAATTCAAAATACTTTGTTACATTTATCGATGACTATTCAAAGTATACACAGGTGTATTTTCTTAAGAGTAAGGATGAAGTCCTTGAGAAATTTAAAGAGTTTGTGAGCTACGTCAATACTCTTGGAAAGAAGGTGAAAGTTCTACGATCGGACAATGGCGGCGAGTATTGCTCCAAAGCGTTCAAGGATTACTTGAAAGAACATGGAATCCTACATCAAACAACAGTTCCGTACAACCCTGAACAGAACGGTACTGCAGAACGCATGAACCGTACTCTACTAGAAGCTGCTCGTTCGATGATGTATCATGCTGGTATGCCTAAAGAATTCTGGGCTGAAGCGGTGAACACTGCAACGTATACAAGAAACCGAAGTCCTACTAATTCTTTGAACAATGCTACACCATTCGAATGCCTATTTAATCGTAAACCAGATGTATCCAATTTAAAGGTATTTGGCTGTGTGGCATATGTACATATTCCTGACCATCAACGAAAGAAATTAGAAGAGAAATCCAGAAAGTGCATGTTTGTAGGATATCCCGATGGTACTAAAGGATTTAAACTGTACGACCTGACAAAGAAGACTTTCATCAGAAGTCGAGATGTTATATTTGAAGAAAGAAGTTTCCATAAGTTCAAATACGAACAGTCTTCTGAATCAAATTCTGACGTCTACTACCCAGCAAAGGAAGATTCTCAAGTTAATCCACCAATTGGTCAAGTTCAAATTCAAGCTGATGATGAAAATGTGAATGTTGAACAAAATCCTCAACCGATTTTGGAAAACAATGTTCCTCTCCAAGAGAATAACAATCGAGTGGGAGCTAGGTATGAAGATAACTTTATGCGTGAAGTGGAAAATTTGAATCAACCAAGACAACGAAGAGCACCTGAAAGATACGAAGAAATGTATGTCTGTGCTGATGATCTTACTGCGGATATAAACGAACCCCGTAATATCTCGGAAGCCTGGTCTAATGAGTACAACACACAATGGAAGAAAGCGACCGACTCGGAGTTCAATGCATTAATGGAAAATGGCACATGGGAACTGGTACCTCCGCCTGATGATAAAAACATTGTGGGAAGTCGATGGGTCTTCAAAGTCAAGCGAAAGGCAGACGGATCAGTTGAAAAGTTTAAAGCACGTCTTGTGGCACAGGGATACTCGCAGACAGAAGGCATTGACTACAATGAAGTGTTCTCCCCAGTTGTTCGAAACACATCTATTCGATCATTGTTGGCTCTAGCAAACATCTTGGACTGGGAGATACATCAAATGGATGTGAGGACCGCTTTTCTTCAAGGAGATCTAACAGATGAGATATATATGAAGCAACCCGAAGGTTATCGAAGCAAAGAAAATCCTGATCACGTGTGTAAACTAAAGAAAAGTCTCTATGGATTGAAACAATCCGCTAGATGTTGGAACTCTACACTAGATAGTTTCCTGAAATCCAGTGGTTACAAGCAAGTTGGCGCTGATTCGTGCCTGTACATGAAGTCTGTTAAGCTGCAGAATGGCAAAATCAATTTTGTTATCTTATCAATCCATGTAGACGACATCTTATGGTTCTCGAACGACGTGATTATGTTAGAGGAAGAGAAGGTTGCAATTGGCACTAAGTTCAAAGTGGAAGATTTGGGCGAAGTTAGTCATATCCTGGGAATGTTGATCAAACGCGATCGAGACTCAAGAACACTAACCATAAGTCAATCCAAATACTTGGAAGGTGTCTTGAAGAGATTCAATATGGAAGAGTGCAAACCTGTATCTACACCTCTTGAACCCGGAAAACAATTCCACGAGTTATCCGATGATGAAAGACCAGCAAACATTCATGAATATCAGAAGATTATTGGTTGTTTAACTTACGTTACAACGGCAACACGACCTGATCTAGCTGCAGCAGTTGGCATTTTGTCGAAGTACATGACCAAACCTAGCCAAGAACATTGGAAAGGTGTAAAAAGAATTTTGAGATATATTAAAGGAACACTAAACTTTGGTATTACTTTTCAAGCTAAAGACCAAACGTGTATCTTAACTGGTTATTCCGACGCTGACTGGGCAAACGACACAGAAACAAGACGTTCCACGTCTGGATATATATTTCAGATTAGCGGATGCACAATTAGTTGGTGCAGCAAGAAACAGTCTTGTGTATCTAGATCGTCCACGGAAGCTGAATACATGGCATTAAGTCTTGCAACTCAGGAGGCTATTTGGCTAAGACGATTACTAGAAAATATCGGAGTCAAGCAGAAAGAATCCACAGTAATGTGCGAGGACAACCAAGCGGCAATCCAATTATCGAGAAACCCGAAGTTCCACAACCGCACGAAACATATCGATGTAGCATTCCATTTCGTGAGAGAGAAAGTGCAAGATAAGTCTATTGATGTTGTGTATTGTCGAACGGATGAAATGCTCGCTGACATTTTAACAAAAGGTCTTCCAAGACAGACATTTGAGAAGTTGAGAAAGCAGTTATGCGTAACTGACATTAAGTAACTGAAACTGATCAGATTAATTAACTGACATTTTTTTTAGGATACTTAAATTTTCATATTGTTGAACGTTAAGATGTATCATCAAGTGGGAGTGTTAGATTATATGATATATTGTGATGATACATTTATAATATTGTTACATGAAGTTTTGGCTTAGAATCACGTGACTTTTCCTCTCAATACTTCGAAGATGAACACCGCGTATATAAACTATTGAACCATGTGATTGTACATATTTTATTTCATATTCGTATTATTAAAACTATAAAAACAACAAGAATTACTGAAAAGTTAGTTTATAGGCCTTGATTTGAAGCACAGGACTGTGGTGAAAGTTCAGTATTCTGATCTCCTGAATTTCCGACAAAATTGTAATTTACACTGAAATATGCATGACTGTTTTGGCTTAAAATTTCTGACAATTAATTTAAAGATTATTTTCGTGTGTATGCTTGGTTTTAGTGATCAGTCACATCAGAAATAGATGCGTGAAGGTCAAGGTTAAGGAGGATCTATGGTTTTGCAGATACTGTAGCACTAAAACAAACAATAAATGAAGAAATTGAATATATTTATAGTTACAGTATTAAATTTCCTCAATTTCGTTTGGGAATGTCACCAGTTTCAGGGACTTCTGAGTCTCTCATATGTGTGGTTTTGGCACTGCCTATACTGTATACTAAGCAATTTTAGGGTTAACTATTTGTCACCTGATTGAAATACTGCATGGAAAAACCGAGATCGAAAGAAATGTAGCCTGAGGCAAAAAGAAATGCGAATATGTTTGTGCGTAAACAAGGTTTTAAAGCATGCAGACCCTTTTCTCCTAGCCTGCGTATAGCAGTTAGGCATTTATTTGCTGGCGAGGGCGAGGGCAGGGGGCGACGATCTTTCCCCCGGCTTGAGGGCCTATTACGGCTCCTCAAATTATTTTATTTTATTTTACAATCTTTGTCAAATAAATGACAGGTTATACCCACAGAGCAGAACACTCCTTTACGGGTATAAAAGTTAACTATTTATACAGAATACATATAAGTGATAATTATTAACAACACGATGTAACAAAGAGACTAGACAAGGGACGACATGAATGACATTTAACACAGATTGTTTTGAAAGTTTGTGGCACACCAAAGTCATAAATTTCTTCAGACATTTTCTGATAGTGATTAAAGAGATTACATTTAAATTGATTAATAGAGAGATTTGATTGACGAAAAAATGATGGTAAACAGTTAAATGTCCTAGAAGATCTGCAATAAAAACTGTTTTGAAATGTTAATGTATTTGCACGGTGAATATGTAATGTAATTTGAGCTTTTCCACTGTTTTCCCTGGTCACGCGACCGGTCCTGGGATGAAATGATAATAGCCCTAATTTCAACACAAAAATTCATGTTCAATGTATACTATGTAAAACACAACGTAGGTCAATAAGGTCATATGGGTTACTTACAACATCTGATTACGACTTGTGATATTTACAAGTCAACGACGAAATATTTTATCAATGGTAGTTTGTAAACATAGTAGTTATTTTTACTGTTGCGGTTCTATTTTCACTCGAATATGATTAGCTCTAGACTTGCATTGACAGTACGTTGATTGTTCAGGCAATGTCTTTACAATCGCGTGTATATATCTTGAAAATGTTCTGTAACTAACTTTTGTTGAACAAAGTCCACTAGTTTCAATCACTTTCCTCACTGTATACTTGATATGTTTCTTGCGTAGCATGAATAAAGCCTCCTCAAGTTTTGACTTGTCTTGCGCTGTTAAACCAAGTGGCCGACCCAATTTGCGCTTAACCTTCTGCGTCGGCGGTGTTGGTAATAAAAATTTCTTTACTACACGGCCGGCAGTTGAAGGGGATATGTTTAATTCTGAAGCAATTTTCCTGAATGAAAGATGTTTAGTCATTCGTAGATCAATAGCTTGTTCAAGTTTATCAGCGCGCACACGTCCTTTGTACACCATATTTATAATGTCTTTAATTGATTGACGATTGTGGACGTCACGTAATTATGTAACTGTATAGCACGCGCAATTACAACGAGACGCACGCTATCGGGGCACCGTTCTTTCCTGCACGCGCTACGCTTTGAATTTTATGTTTTTTGTTGTATAGTTCTCGCAGTTCTCGACTTTCCTCCGCACTTTCTCGATTTTGAAAAGCGCTAGAAGGTGACAATGCGACGCCGATGCGCTAGAGAGTGTCTCTCCTCCGCGGGTGTAGATAAAAGGCGGACGGACGGCGGACCGCGGACCGCGGAGCATTTTATAAACGCATGATTGCTACCGCAACTAGCAATGGAATTTTTTAATCAGCATTCAAATGATTCATTACGTATGTATGATGGCTATACGGCGTCTTTCTCGGGAAACGTTTGGAAATATTGTAAAAAAGCGCCTTAGTTTTGGAGCTTCTGTTAGGCAGAGTTAAATGACATTTTCACTTGCTGACATTTTCGTACTTTAAATAGTGCTGACTTGTTGTTTTTTAATGAAAATAATCCCCGTTTTAATTATAAACCTAAGAGGTTCACACGAAGAAATGGCCGATTTGCATGCGACGACTATACTATATATGAATTTTAGAAATATTAAAGGGTTATACCGAAGTTGTCCTCGTATATAAATCCTCACTCTAAATATTTATTATACACAAAAAACAATACGAAATATATGAATTCACTTGTCTCAAACCCTGTCAATTGTCTCTTAACCTTGTCTATTGTCTCTTAACCTTGTCTATTGTCTCTTAACCTTCTCACAATAACAAAGTCATTATACCATATATGGTAATGTTGCGCGTGTCTCTAAATATAGCTATTACTGTTCAGAGTTCATCACACACTCCCCTAACAAATTTAAACGAATTATAAATTTTTAACAACAACATTCTACACAGTTATATTTACTTCCCTTTAATCGTCCTTCAACTGTTCTCTGATGTTAACTTTCGCGATCTTTGCTGCTTTCCGTTCTGGTCTTTCCTTTAATTTATCATCATTATCTTCAGTACTTTCGTTGTGTCTTCCTTGATCTTCCTTAACCACGCTCCTTATCTCCAAAGGACATACTAGCTGAACAGGTCGTTCCAAATAGTTACCCTTATGTAATACAATAACTCCTCTAATTACACCGTCCTTTCCTTTCACGTACTTCACAACTTTGCCTTTCATCCACCGTCCTCGGTTCTTTTCGTCCAAATCTCCGGTTTGCATATTGTCCTCATCAGTCCCACTCTTCATCAACTTTGCTTTCTTGCTTTTCTCCAACTTTTCTTTCATTCTACTTTCGTCTGTAATTTTTCTTTTCTTTTTCTTACGTTCACTTGTCTTTTCAACATTACTAGTTTCTTTAGTGTTTCCCTGTGAAACAACATTACTTTTCACTTTCCCTTTCGTTTTTATGCCATTTTCCTCAAGGTTCTCTACTTCGTTTTCTTCTCTTTTCCTCTCTTCGATGTTCTTTTTCTTTCTTCTCTTTTTTCTGTTCTTTCCACTTTCCTGCGCTCCACTTTCTTCCATCAATTCAAACATTTCATCTTGGTCAGAATTATCGGAGGCATTTGCGTCTTCATCACCTTGTCCTTCCTTTGTTTCTTCCGCAGTTACTGGCTTCAGTTCTCTCAACCGTTCTGGTGTATTTTCATGTTCCTCAGTTTCCTCATTCATGTCTTCTCTTTCTTTTCCATCGTTCGAAAACCATGGATTTTCCGAACTATCACCGACCAGTCCAAAATTTCTAAAATTCTCGGGAATCTCTGCGCTATCTTTGGCTTTATTTGCCTCCTCTCTGACGACATGTTTGTGGGGTATATGATATACTTGTTTACCATTCGGTTTCACTGGTACACCTTCAATGATACCCGATTCTAATTGCTTCTCGATTGTTTCATTATAATTGTTGTTTACCTTCTCATCTCGCTCGATCTTTTTGCATACGTTAGCTAATCGCTTTCCACTTGGTTCTAGATTGCTATTTGGTAAAGACTGTCCTGGAATCGATTGTACTTTGACTTGATATCTACCGTCATCAGCCCGAGTAATGTTTTCTTTAAATTCATGATAAGCGTCCAGTTGGTCGTTCTCCCCTCTACCTTCAATTCCAACTACATCCAGTGTATACAATTGCTCGTAGTCATTTGGTTCTCTTGTAAACATACACACATTGTTCGAAATATCACCACCATGAACAATCCAACCAAACGAAGTACCTTCAACGATAGGATCGCCATCTTTTCCTTTATAGATTTCTTCTGTCTTAATCTTGCAGAAGGTGTTGTCACCTAAGATCATGTGTATTGGATATTCACCATCTCTTGTCATGTAAAACCTCTTATCCTTTGTGTGTTCATAATTCCATTTAAGTTTGTTCATGTCCGGTCTTTTCACTGTTGTGAAATCTTTCATTGTCGACCCGGCTAGCTCTATATCTTCCTTGGTTGATCCGTCTAATGATTCGATTGTTACATTGTAAATAGGCATGGACTGTCTTTTTGTTCCATTAATGGTGATGGTTTCTTTCGATTCATGTCGTGCTGCAGAAACTTGAAGTTTCTTTACTGCTTCCTTTGAAATAAAATTCTTGCCCGATCCTGTGTCCAAAAATGCCCAGAAAACTTCTCCATCCACCTTAACTGGGATTATGGGGGGTAATGTAATCTCGTCTGTTGTTGTTGAGTAGCCTGTTAGTACTGTACCATCACCGTCGTTTTCTTTCTGATCATGTAAACTGGTATGATGTCTCTCCCCACAGTGACAGCACCCACGACTCCTACAATGTCTAGCCCTATGTCCCGGGCTACCGCAATTGAAGCATAAATTGTTCTCACCGAAGTAAGCCTTTCTTTTAGCTGTGGTTACATAAGACTTGCACATATCACTCCAGTGTTCAGCTTTACAGAACATACAACAAGGTATCTTTTTTCCCCTTTCGTACTCTTTACCTCCATTACGTGCAAACAAGTTTTTCTCTCTTCTTGGGTCACCTGTGGATTTATCTTCTTCAGTTTTGTTTCTTCGTAACCATTTTTGCAGACTATCAACTAAGTTCTCCATTTTCCATTCCTCCCAATCTTCATCAGTCCTTACCAAGTCTGACTTCACATTTGGCAACTTATTAATAGTACACATCACAAATCCATCTAATTTCTCATGTTCACCGAGAGTCTGTAGGGCGTCATAGTTCTTGCTCAAATGTTCGTAGAAAGCCAAGATCTTTTCATAGGAGGACCCTCGTACTGTGGGTAAATTTA